CCTTTCGGTTTAGTACTACTGTAGTCTTGGGTTTAGGGTTTAGGGTTTGGGTTTAGGGTTTAGGGTTTAGGGTTTAGGGTTTAGGGTTTAGGGTTTAGGGTGTAGGGTTTAGGGTTTAGGGTTAGTGTTGTAGGGTTGGGCTTACTAGAACTAGTACAATCCTAGGCCTCCCCTCATGGTTTTAATTAACTGTCCATTGCGGGCCCGAAACCGCGACATCCCAGGGCCGGGACATTTTTATATTGTGGGCGGTTTATTGTTAGGGGGAAGCGATTATCCTGCCCCTCACTCTACGTAGTCTGGCGTTCGGGCCAAACTCTCGAATTCTGGAAACCCCACACAACCCTAAACCCTCAACCCCAAACCCCTATAACTCTAAACTCTAAACCCTGCACCCCTAAACCCCTGCAAGCTCTTAACCAGAGAATCCTCGAATGCAAAACGACATCTGACGTCCAATGAGGCTCCTGGATCGATAAATTGGAGGCTCAGGGACTTCTTGGGCTTTAGCCCTCAGGCTCCAAGGACTCATATTTTAAGGCTTTTGGGCCTAAAGACCATACTATGTAGGGCTTCTGTGCTATTTTGAGCCTTAGGGTAGGGGTCAATATAGGGGCCTTTATAATTAGAATAAGCTTTTGTGGAGCTCCAGATGAGGTTTCAGGATTGAAGGTTCAGGGACGCAAAGCCACAAAGCCCAGAAAGCACAAGAGAGCCCACCGACACAGGCTTTAAGAAAAACAAAGCTCAACTATCTCATGATAACGGTAGCTAGCTGCTGCACCGACGCACCTTCTGCCAAGAAACCTATAGCTTAACGCCTAACCCTAAATCCTAAACTCTAAACCCTAAACCTCGAAACCCTAAACCCTAAACCCCTAAACCTCTAAACCCTAAACCCTGAACCTAACCTTAAAAGCACTGGCTGCATCAAAGCTGCTCTTTGCCCAGTTCACGGTTCTTTCCAAGCTCTGCCTCGCCAAGAGCGGCTAGGAGGGATTGGGTGTTGAGATTTTTGGGGTTGAAGGTCTAGGGATAGGGGATTAGGGTTTAGGGTTTAGGGTTTAGGGTTTAGGGTTTAGGGTTTAGGAGTTTAGGGGTTTAGGGGTTAGGGGTTTAGGGGTTTAAAGGTTCAGGGTTTAAGGACAATGATAAGGGCTTCGTGAGTGGTTTGGGATCTGGGGTGAAGGGCTCACTTAAGGTACGGATTTTTGGATGCTACGGTTGATGATATAAATCCTGTATTATCCATAATAAGGAATATACCATGATTCCCAGAGTTTAGGGTCCTTAAGGTAATGCAGGGTTTATATCATCAACAGTAGCCTTGTACGCTTTCGACTGGGCTTAGAACGTAGGATTCAAGATATTGCCTCTCCGGTAGTTGCATGTATTGGAGTGCAGGGCTCTTCAAAACCCTTAAATCCGAAATGAACCCACAAAGGGTTTAAGGTTCACATACCATATTAGGGTTCATAGTATAAAGGTACAGCGTCCCTACTTTTAAGGGTCCTTCGAGGCTTCGAAACAAAAAAGAAATCCAAACCTGCACAGCCAAAAACCTCGAGCTTCTCAGACCTCCCGAAATCCCTTAGTTCCTTACCCTCACCCTCAAAGGACCCATATTTTAAGGCTTTTGGGCCCAAAGGACTTATTATGTAAGGCTTTTGGGCTATTTTGATGCTAAGGGTTAAAGACGAAAAGCACCCTAAAAGGGTTGAAGGTTCATCTACCGTATAGAGATGCATGGTTTAAGTGTAGAGAGTCCCTACTTTAAAGGGTCACTTGGTCCTTAATTCAGGTTAACGGAACATACCTTAAAGCATATTCGGGCCAGGTTCCTACCGTATAGTGTATAAGGTATGTTCAGCATACCTGGACCCTAAAAGAAGCCTACCTGTTTTAAGGATCCTTACCATGATATCTTTACAGGAAATTTATATGAATCCTTGAAAAGGGAGGTTACTTGGGGTTCATCTGGGAAGATCTGGCTTACACCCTGGGCTCCAAAGCCCTCACTTAACTTCTGGCCTGAGGAACAGTACTTGCGTTTCGGGTTTAGGGTTGGCCATGTTCACGAAAGGTTGCGTGGCACAGTGTGGGATATGATATAGGAACCCTTTAGCCTCGGGTTTACGGTCTAGGGTTTAGGGTGGAATAGCTACCCATAGGCCCCATAGTCGTTCCTTTTTGGGTTCATATTTAGAATCCTATAAGGTAGTCCCAAAAAGGAACTACGATGGGGCCTATGGGTAATTACTAAAAAAAAGGAACCAGATCAAGAAACCTTGGGTCTGTCTTAGGGTTCATTCCCTAAGGGTCCATGTGCTTATCCTAAACCCTAAACCCTAAACCCTAAACCCGTATAGACATTGGCCCCAAAGTAACATATGTAGGGACTACGTTAAGGCCAACGTATGTACTATTTTGGGCACATGGACCCTTAGGAGTTACATGGGTCCTAATATTACCCTTAAGCCCTAAACCCTAAACCCTAATATTTCGAGGTTGTCGGACCAGGGTTTCTTCATCGGGTTCTTGCATTACCCAGCTCTGCTTGGAGGCCCAGGGGACTTAGTAAGTCGGTTATAAGTAGGGTTATGATTGGGGTAGCTCCATTTAGGGTACCTATAACTCTACTTATAACCTACTTACTAAGTCCCCTGGGCGTCCAGGTAGGGGCTCTATGTTGGGAATATGACCGATAAGGGATTCGTATACCTCCAAACCTCAGTCCAAGATGAGGGTTCCAGAAGTCAGGGTCCTTTGCGGGTCACTACCTTAAAGACGAAAAGAACCCCAAAAGGGTTGAAGGTTCATAGACCATATAGAGATTCATGTTATCAGGGCGTAGCATGCCTACTTTCAAGGGTCATTTGGTCCTTAAGGTACTACAAGAGCGACAGAGCTTGTCGGGAATCAACACGAGACGCTAGTTGCGAGAATTTCGACATAAAGGCGAGATAAATACCTTGCACGCACATGCACGTACCTGCGTACAAGAAGCAGCACGTAAAGACACACAAGCACCTGTAGCTTGGCGTGTCCATTTCGCTTGCCTCTCACCCGGACATCTTCTTTAAGATTTCTTCGCCTGTCTACCCTGAACCCTAAACCCTAAACCCTGAACCCTAAACCCCTTCAAACCTAACAGAACGAGAGGAACACTCAAGGCTACCCGAGCCTCTGCAAGTTGACTTGTGCTTCGTCCTTGGCGACATCGTCCAAGCTTCTTCGCATGGCCTGGTACAACAAGTCGCTGCCAAAGCTGTCGAATTAGTCAAAGGAGGTCACTGTAAATACATACTGCAATACACGCTGGCCATTGTTTCTCTTTCAACTCCAGACACATATAATATACCATGTACTACTATGAGCTGGGGCCAAGAGTTCCAGGTCTGTAAATTTCTAGAAAACCCAAATTCCCAAACCCTAAACCCCAACCCTAAAACAGGGCTTCGGTTATGTCTGGCAAGCTACAACTGCGAAAACAAGGAATCCAAAGGCATGGTAGCGCTACTTTCCTTGATCCCTTTAGGTTTAGGGTTTAGGGTTTAGGGTTTAGGGTTTAGGGAGTGTTACCTGGGGATTCAATAAACCTATTGCTTTAGGGGATATGCTCTGTAATTAAGGGGTGATAACCTGCTGCGGTTGATGATCTAAATCCTGACAGGGAATGTACCATAACTCCCATAGTTTAGGGTCCTTAACGTAATGCAGGATTTAATCATCAGCAGTAGTTTGTAGGGTTTGGGGATTCAGTGTTAGAACTTGGGACTTAAGCTTTTCCATGCCTTTCTTCATCTTCCAAATAACCATTCGCTGTGTCGGTTTCCCTGTTTTGAAAAACCTGAAACGTAAACCCCTTGTTTGAGCAGGTTCCGGGTTTGGGGTTTAGGGTCTAAGGTTTAACCCCTAAACGCCTAAACCCTAAACCATGTTCAGGGCCTAGGCCTTGGTATAAACTTGAGAAAGCCGTGAAGCTAAGCACAACACCCTGTAAAGCTCGGTGTGGAAGGCAACACGGCCCTGAAAGACAAGTCCACCAGGAACCACGCACCCCGCATAAAAGCGAGACTAAACCCTCCATAAACCCCTAAAATCCCCTAAGCCTACCCTAAACCCTAAACCCTAAACCCTAAACTCCCACAAGCCTCCTGGTCTTGCTGCAACCTAGGACGGTTCAAGGAATGCCAAGGGCCCTTCCCACTGCAAGGGTTTAGGGTTTAGGGTCTAGTAATTTGGGGTTTAGGGTTTAGTAATTTGGGGTTTGGGGTTTAGGGTTTAGGGGCTAGGGTTTAGGATTTAGGGTTTAGGGTTTACCAAGGGCCCTTCCCGCTGTAAATACCGGTTCATGGGCTTTCCGAAGCTGAGTATGGGTTCCTTTCTCGGCACCCTATAATGCAGTTCTTAGTTTGAAAAGTCTATAGTCTATACATTAAGCCCTAAACCCTAAACCCCCAAACCCAATGTCTTATGAGATACCCCATGTTATGAAACTCTCGATGGGTAGCCTCCGGGTTGTGCGCGGTTGAGGGCATGAGGTCGCGTCTTTGGGTTTGGGTGTTTGTAGTATATGGGTAGTTCTCTAAGATAATAACCCTTTTGGGGTCCCTTTGCCTAAGGGTGCCGTGCTATATTACGGGCCTAAAACGGGACCCTACTTTAGAAAGCTTCCCATATGGCTGGCCTATGATACCCTGAACTAAACCCTGAAGCCTAGAATCCTCTTCCTGCATGCCTGAGGGTCTTTTTCTGGTGTCTGTGGGGTCTTTCAACCTTACATGCATCCACGCAAAACCAGAGGAACAGGAAACAACTGGCCCCAGCGCTAAACCCTAACAGCCCTAAGCACCTTAACAGGCTTGATAACCCTAAGAACCCCAATACCGCCAATTACCCTGATAACCCCAAAAGCCCTGACACCGCACGCAATGCCAAGCAACTCTCAAGGGACTAAAGGAGGGACCCTTAAAGGGACCCTTGGGGTTATAAAAGGGTTTTATGAGGCTATATAAGGGGTATATAAGGGTTATGGAGAGTATTTGGACTCTTGCAAAGCCCGGGAAACCTTACACCCTCAACCCTAAGAGCCTTAGTCAAGTAGTCCGGTACTCCTAAACGATATACCCTAAGAGCCTTAAACTCTAATACCCTGCGGCTCAAAACGGCCCAAAAGCCTTATACAGCATGGTCTTT